GGAAACCAGGGGGGGGGGGGGGTCAGTGGGGGGGGGGGGGGGGGGGGGGGCTTGTATGATCAAATGTTGTGGAATCGCGTCAAGAATGATGATCTCATCGAACTGCGAGGGTCTCCGTCATGGTGTGCAAGTAACCCAGAGAAATAATAGAGCCAAAGGAACCGCGAGCGACGGTGAATGAATGGGCTGACCAAAATCTAGCCCCATGAGAGAATCATGCCAAGCTTTTTCCACGATAATCACCAACGCTTTCTACACACGGACCCTTCGTTCTTGGCGAATGGTCAGACTTACTCGGGGGCCTTTGGTATAACTGTACCTTATGTTGGCATAGTTGCACCTCATTCTGGAGCAACTGCTGTGCCTCATTTTGGCTATAGTTGCACCTCGTTTTGGAACACAGCTTGTGATGACGGAAAACTCGTTTCTTTGCCTTGGGAGCCAGAGATAATTCGAATGTGAAGACAGCAGCAACACACAACACACAACAGCAACAGCAACAACAACACGACCACCTACCTCAACACAACAACAACCACCCCAACATTCGTTAGAGGAACGCACACCCCACACTGCCGCCACCAAAACCAACCAACTTTCAAGTTGCGTACAGTCTAGTCCCAAGGCAGAAATCACCAACTAAACCAGCCCCGCACATCACGTAAAAAAGGCCTACATACAACGAGTGCAGGGCGACTGACGTACGTGGTGTCGGCTTGCATTGACAGCTGAAACATCCCGGTTTTCACGTCGAAAAATCTTCCATCTCCCCCGCTGCCACGCCCCCCCCCCCCTACCACTCCGGGGGCCCCGTCGGAAAAAAAGTCGGATTTCACGAGATGGAGGCGTTTCCCGAACCGGTTGCTCTTCTGATAGGTGCTCGTCACCGCGAGGTTTTCTGCTGTCTCCATGGCGGGCATCGCCACCCACACCTGCGGGTCGGGGGGTACGGGAAGGGGTGGGGGTTGGGGGGGGGGGTAGGGGTAGGCCACCAAAGCAGAGTTGAACGCTGTCGTACTCTCACTAAATAACCCAATTGCCGTTGTTCTCTGTTTACTTTTGGGGATAATCTCGACGGGCCGCCGAAAGAGTTAATGCTACCGCAGCACGCTGGCCTCAAGGGACGGGCACAAACCATGCCTCATTCCAGCCAAAGCTTTCCCCGGCAAGAGCTTAAGCAAACTCCTGAACGGCACTCAGCAAAATTGATCGTGGTGCCAGCCTTGTCTCCCTGTATAGCGCAAGCCAACCACTCAGCCTACGACATGTCTGGGTTTCCAAGGTGCTCTCAAGGCTGTAAACTTACCCCCCCACTTCACGATAGGATAGATAGACTAGGGAAAACATTTTTGAGCCACCTATTGCAAACTACAGTGGGAAGGAACGATGGGCCATCGGTGATCGGTCCTGTGAGAACCATGTTCCGTCCTCTCGAGGACGCGTGGTCAATTATCTAACCGCTAAGGCATGCAAAACATAAGAGTACACCCCCCCCTCCCCTTCTTGCCCTTCACCTGACAGGGTTGGACGGTACTGACCAACAGCGCCTCCAATTGCGCCTCCAGCGAAGGAGATGCAATGACTATCGCCTGAGAGTGCGTCAGAAAACAAAAACAAGAAGTCAGGCGACAACACCGGGCGCAATAGGCAAGAGGACGAGCGCCGACCGGTCGCACATCTGATTATCAGAGCACCGCCGCCATCATTCATGGCGGCACGATGACGCACCCTAGCCAATGTCGCTGCCGTCTTCGCCCCCGCAATAGCACGACCAAGTCTGTTTAGAGCATCGCCACACCCAGAGTTTTCTTTCGCGTCAGCAACTGCCGAAAACGATTTTGCGCAGGCACGTTGCTGTCAGCTACGGTGGTAGACCACCTTCTCTTACGCATTCGCTGGTCAAACACGCCTGTTTTTTTCGGAAGCCCGCCTTATATTGTCAACACCGCGCAAAGCCACCAACATTCATGACGATGGTAGCCGTGCCTCAACTCAGGCACATCGATTCTCTGATCGGAGGCACCGTTTAATACACCCAGCTCAAACCGTCTAGAAGGAGCGAGAGATACCGCACTGCTGCCGCGCTCTCAGGCACACTAAACCAGCCGCTTTACCACCCAGCGAGAAAAAGCCCCCCCGCGTAAAACTCACCGTTACGTCTGCGAGCTGGCCTTTGCCTTCCTCCAGCAAGAAGTCTGAATTGAGCTCCAAAAGGCCCGTGATTGTGTGAGGCGTCGCCTGGAACGCGGGGTATTTCCTGCACAGCCGGAGGCAAACAGCGAGTCGGCATGAATGGACACACAAAGAGCGTGGTGTAGTGTGTCTTTTCTTATTAGCATCGACCGCGCTAACCGGCTGACCAATGAAAAGACGTCAGTCTTGGTGCAGTTGAAACATAAATGCTCCCAAAGGCCACCATCTGTGCGTGTGTCTCTCTCTTGATCTGGCGCCGACCGCGCCCACCAGCTGACCAATGAAAACATGCCAGTTCTTAGGCCGGTTCGAAACACGAGGAGTAACTCGTTTAGTAGTCCACGGGCTAACTCAAAAGGATGGCCGCGTACGTTGGTGAGCGGGTGCGAAAGAGACACACACTATAATAACAGAGATAGAAAAACAAATTACAGACAGGGGGGGGGGGGCAGCGACAAGGATATGTTGTGCGCCCGTTCATGTCACAAAGAGGGCAAAAAGAGTCGATCCACCCGAAGACCGCCACCCCGACAAACTCACTTTTGCCATATGTAATAAATTCACGTCGTCATCCCAAATGGTGAATACCCCCACCTACATACGGTCATCATCTACTTCTCTTAAAGCGGGGCCCCACTCACAAGAACTATTCCGAAACATGGTTTTCGGGAATGTTCATGTCTTTCGATTGTATTTCTATTTCTTTACTTTTTTTTGTTCTGGGAACGACACATCGTTAGCCCACGCCGTCTCGCCCATCTTCTTCTGGGCTGCAACCACAGCTATGTAGCACCAACATCATCAACTCGAACCGCCCTTCGCAACCGATTGCCGAAATCCTCTCCAAACGCCACCAACCTGCTCCATCATCGCTCCTCCGAGCACCACTACCACCAAGCATGCAAGGGCTAAAACAACGCCGCCGCCGGCATTATACCGCGTGGAAAACTCACACTGTCGTCCGTAGCCGACGATCTTGGAGGTCCAGGTCGATCTCATCCGTACCCCCGATCGAGAGGGCATCCGCGATAGAGACGGCGTTCGCGATAGAGACGGCGCCCTGGACCCCTACCCTTTCAGGCCAGGAGAATCCCCCCCGCCTCGCAATGGTCATCATCATCAGAAAGCTGCCGCCTATGTACCAAGCGAGTGTGAGAAAACGAACGGAGGACCCTTTTGTTGATTTAAGTGGGAAGACATGATCAGCCATACATGTGTACGACACACCTCAAGGCGAAACAGGGTTGTTTGATTTTGTGACGAAGACTGCTACGCTGACGGCCGTGCTACCTGTCGGATGTTGTCTTGTTCCCGTGGCGGGGGATTGGCGACGTCAAGGACTTAACGCACGATCACCAAAGCCCTGCACACAAGCACCCGGAAACATCCACGCACACACACGAAGGGGTGCAACCAAGTACTGTCTACTAACGAAGGACCTCAGGCTTGCCCATGGTTTTGTTGGTTGGTCGCGGTAAGACTCTTTTGGAGGTCAGTATCACCATGAATGACGGCGGTATTTCGCTGATAAAATACAATCATAAAATCTCCATCTTTATTCTTTATAACAAAAATACACAAGTGACGCATGTCCTGGCTCTGCCTGTCGCCAGGCCCTGATGCCGCGGCCTTGCCTTCTGTCGCATGTAGATGCCCTCGCTTGCGTTAGGCACGGCACGAGATGTAGGTATGTGCAACACACAATAGTTGCATACCCCGCCGAGAGAGATTCCGTATGCTCAAGTCGAAAAAATTGCAACCTGCACGCGTCGTGGCTCCGACAAAAGGGGGTGGTGTGACAAAGGTGCTCGACCCTCTGATATCGGAGCTCCCTCTTACATCGCCTACTTGCCCTACTAGAAGCAAAATATAGCGGGTCAAGTCCATCACAACCAATTTCGACCCTCGTTTATCTTATGTCCTAAGCTTCTACTAATCTACATCATTCTTTTATCTACACGATGGTGGGTGTTCAGCCTTCGGCCGGTGAGACCGCCGGGTCATATTAACCAGAATTTCACACCCAGACATTCCTCCAAGACCAAGAGCTGGAGGCTGGAAATAACCACAGAACCCGCGGTGTGGCTGCATGCAATGATGACGGATCCCGTGATTCTTTTCCCAGGCGATGCTGCTGTAATACAGGAAGCTGCACTTTTCGCGGATCCAACATTCTGAAAATAACGAAAACACAATCAATATAGCTCACACACACCCGAGCTGGGCGAACCGAAACCAAACTTCCCCCAAAAGTTGGTCTACTCGAGGGAAGGAGCTTTGTTGTGTAGCAGTCACCACGTCGGCACACTCGTACGATGGAGAACGCCCACACTTTTGGCACACCACACAACGGGCCCCATAGCAGGAGAAGCAGCCGCGAGCGCGGCAGAAATATCTTGCAATCAGCGCCCCGTATTATTTTCAAGTGATTGGATGTACTAACGTTCGTAGACATACGTAAAGGCAGAACTGTACATCCAAATCACTTGAAAATACTACAGAGCGCTGATTGCACCAAACTCCGACGATCGCCCGGAGGCGCGCGGCTGCGAGGAGGCCGCCCGTGCCTTCTTGTTCTCCCATCATTCCAATCATTCCATCTCGTCGCGAGGTGGGGTGTTCGTGTGCACCCGCCCCACAAGCTTACGTACGTCAAGCTGGGACTGCGGTGGCGGGAGGTCATCGTCGGGCTAATCGTTCTTTGCTCCGTGCGCACTAAAAGTTTGACGTATCTTACAGCAGTAGTTCTGGTACATGGGCCTTCGAGTCTGGCAACCCTATTCAAATCTCTGTCTTCCACTGCTGTAATACTCTGTAGATCCTGACCTCTAGCGGGTACACCTTACAGCAGTAACTCGCTCCTATAAGCGTCTCCGCCCCCACCCTTGGATGATGTCGGCGTCGTGTGTGCCTGGGCGTGGGCATGCGTGCGTGTTTGTTGTTCCGACAGGTACCACAGCAGTTGTACATGATCAACCGACAAGCACACGGATTGTGCGGCATAATGCTCGTGCTGCCTATTATACTAATACCACTACAGAAACTAGAAGGCCAGGCGTCTATCGCTGCTGTTGGGCTAGATCCAACGAAAGGGGAGAAACAATCAGGAGGTACTTCTCTCTGCTGGCGTAGGCAGCTTCGATGTCCCTCTTGCTACTGCTGTACAGACCATCACCCCTACTGCTGTACTACTGTTCCCCTCTCACACCACACCTGATAAACAGATCGCCCGAAACCACCGAGAACGAATCGTCGACATCCCCTTCGTAGCCGATCCCCTTCGCTTCTTCCGTTCCACAGCCGAAGGAGAAGCGCTCGATTCCCCATTCGCGTCTCTTCGAACAAACCGCCCGCTGCTGCCGAAGCCTTCGCTAACTTCCCCCGCCGGGTAGCCAAACCGCGGAGCCTTGCTGGCGTCGCCGCCGCCGGCGGTCGGAGCTCCTGCGGAAGCTGCCCTTGCAGGAGATGGCTCCACTCCCGTGCCGTTCTCTCCGCCCGTTGCTTTGTCTGCACCAATCCCACTATCCGAAGTGGAGGATAGGGTGCTCCTACGCTTGTACATCATCGCGCGCCGGAGTAGTGGGTGACCTGAACTGCCAATGCCCACCACGACTCATGAACAAGTGATGACTCTGTCTGCGTTGCAGCGCTGACAAGACTGTGCAGAGCAGTGCAGACAGCCTGAGTGCTGAGTGTGCTGCAGACAGACAGCCCGAGAGGCTCCGTGGTTTCTTGAGCGAGAATAACAGGGGTGTGTTCGATAGGGGTTCCGTGACTAAGTAGTCACGCGTCGAGGGTGGCAAAAGCAAAGACAGGCGAGCGAAGTTGCGATCACACCAAGGGAAGGCGTAGAACAGGGGAAGCTGCGACAGTTTGTATGCAGGGGGACCCCTGAGGAGGGGGGCGAGAGACGACGGGCATGCGGATCTTGGCGTGCAAGCTCTTGAATTTTATAATCTAGGTTTGCGCTTTTCCACACATCTCGCGGGTGAGAGCGGAGGGGCGAGCAGAGGCAGCCTTAGAGCGACGCAAAGACAACCACCAATGAACAGGCGGCAGAGCCAGGGCGTGCCCAAGGGGGGCTACGGATCTCTTGCCTGTGCTCCGACGAGGTGAGTGTCCCGGTTTCATGTTTGCGGAAGGCGCGCACTTCCCCGATCTCGCGCGCCTTGGTTCGCCGAAAAGGGGCGTCCTTGTCTAATTTCAAGTAAACCGTGCGACCATTTCGTTCACATGGCCAAGCGGAGCGGCGCCAAAGGGGTGGCATCCCTCTCTTGGCCATGCCTCTCTGCTGCTCCTGGGAAGGAACGCACACGCATTGGGCAAGCGCGTGTGTGTGTTCGGACCTCGCGCTGGCTTGTGTTCGCAGGTGCCTGAAGTGGAAGATTGTTATACGATGCACAATCGCAGTCGAGATCTCAGAAGTTTCGTGGTCTCTTGCTACAGCAGCAGTGTAGGTAGTCTGCAGCAGCAGATTTCAAAACATTCCAGCCGGGTTGGGTAGAGCTCATGACGGACGCAGAGACAGTCTTGACCACTAGCCCCCACAGGCTGTTTCAGGGAGAGAGAGAAACAGGGCACGTCCGACCCTTGCTTGCCCTCGTAAGCCTTCCTTCCCCGAAGACGCACGCGCGCGGCGGCCGATGTGTCTTTGGCGCCCGTATCCTCTCTATTCTTTCGTATCCTTGGGCGGAATCGATCCTTGGGGCGGAATCGCCACGTGTTATCTCTCCGCGGCTGCGTGCTGTCTGCTTGAACTCTAAGCCAGTGGGAGGCACGTGTGCGGATCGGATTGAATCCAGGAAGAATCCGCTGCCCTGTTTTGACGCCTCCCTGATATCACCTGTGGGCAGAGAGCGGCGGTAGCGGTACAGTTATTTAGGATACGGAGCAACAATGTCCCAATCGAGTCGTACGATCTCGCAAGAGGACCTCTCTTCCCAGCTTGGCAGATAGAGCGTAGTTCACTCACCCTCCCCTGCCCTAAATTTAGCGCAACAGCAGTGCCGTCGGTTTCGCGTGGCACGGCGTGAGCACGTTGCGAAGGTCTGCTGTGCAAGAGATGTTCGAAGAGGCAGGGGTTGTGATGATACCCCCGTCAAGAGAGCACCGGGCACATCACCCTCCATGTTGTTCTTGCATGTGAAAAGGGGATTCGTAAAGATGGATACGTAGGAACCCTAGTGTAAGATGTTTCCTGTTCCATCCTAAAGCTTGTATTCAATGCAGCGCCTTCGAGTGAGGTTTCAACATGTAGCGGCAGCTGTGACAAGGGCACTGGCATTCTTCTCCAGCTTACTGAACGCTGATATCTGGTTGTATGTGTGATCAAGGAGTTCCTGTTGAGCTTTGCTGATTGCTGACACCTCGATCCGCCGGGGTGGCACATGGCCTTGTTTCGCTAGTACCTGCAAATCGTGGCTGCTAGGATGTCTACGTCTTTGTAGCAGCTTCATTCATGGCTGGTGCTTGATGCGTCTGTGAACATGGTGCAACTCTGGCGTTGGTTATGATGGCAATGGTGTTTGTTGTTTTGATTTGTTGCCCGTGGTGCCTGTAGACATGAGGAGCAGCATCAAAGATCGCCGGAGTTGACGTTTGTACCGTTGTCAGATGCTCCTGTACTGACAAGAAGCGCTCGTGTTTGGTTGTTCAGGATGAGGTGTGAAGTCTTGGCACCACCGCATTCTTCTTCGTCATCTATACGCAAGATCTACCCAAACACGGCATGGCCATGCTTCCCAACGGTTGAGCAACAGCAGCAAAGTTTTCGTAGCGACCAGACTTCAGCTTGAACGCTTTTGAGTGCTTCAGATTGGGCAGATACACAGCAGCTCACAGTGTGTTCCGTTTTGATGAAGGATTTTGTTGAACCTCGAATACGTGTGTTCCTGTCATGTTTACCCAAAAGGGCCGACGTGTCGACGTGTCAGACTTATCGTGGGAGATGCTCCCACGGCAGCCACCTTACATATTACACCGATTCCTGGGGACAAACTAGTCACGTGCAGACGGTCCTCTAGAAGGCGTGCTACAAACACGTCAGCGAAGATGTGCGCGAGCAAGTATGGATAGGACCCGCCCTTGGCACGGGGGCGCCACATGTTGCTCCTTGGGTCACCGATTCCGCCGCGCTTCTGTACGGCGCCTGTGCACGATGACGCGCCGAGAAGATGATAAGGCGGTCAGACCCTTCGCTTCGACGGATTTTGCCGCCCGTCTATGTACCCGCCTTTTGCCGAATCGCCCAGCCTATCGTTTCTCAACGAGAGTCTGCGAACCGATGGTGGTCTTTGCAGCTCTCCCGTGTAGCATGGTAGAGGGCAGGCACACTTACCGTCGTCTTGCGGAGTTGAGTGTGTCGGTTGTGCATGCTCCATCAACAGAAAGCCTGCCGCCTGGGCCGCTGCGCACCGAAAAGCCACGTGCAACCAGACGTAGAACCCCACAAGCTAGGCAACACGGGGCTATTTGTTGCGCCGCACTCTCCACGGCAAATAAGGCCAACCGGAGGAAGGCCGTTGGTTATTCCCCAAGACCATCGCCGCGGACCCCGTCAAGTGGCATCTCCGGTGCTATGGCGCCCCCCCCCCCCCCCGCCGCCGTAACCCGCCCCTTATCATACCTCTGATCTCCGTGGTGATGCTTGCTTGTTGGTCTCCAACCTCTGGGGCGAATTTCGCCGCCGCCGCGGTTACCCCTGCTGTTAAGTAGCTTTGTGCCTGGGCGCGGGGTCCCGTGGTGGGAAATAAAAGAGCCAGCAGGGTGGAAGCCGCTGAACGGTAGCATAAAGAAATTATCCGCAGGCGTGGTAGGCTCTTCCTACTTCGTGGAGCGTGGTAGCTCGGAAGGGTGTGATATCCCTGGAGGTGGCGTGGAAGCCGTGTTATAAAGGGGTAGGCAAGGACGTGGAAGTCCTGGAGGCGTGGGAAGCTGGATGGCGTGATAGCCTATGGTGGCGTGGAAGCCGGGGAAAAGACTTGATTACACACACAAAAAGGAAGAAGTGGGAAACCATAAACCACAAACACTATTTCCGCTGTAGACACCCACACCCTCAATCCTGGAATATGCGGCAAAGTTGGTACCACCAAGTCTATTCCATAGCAACTGTTGAACCCCCAAACTCCCCGCTCCATCTGCTCGGAAAAATCGTGCTTGTAGTAATCTCTCGATGCTGTGAGTACATCCAACAGCCCCTTACTCGCTGCATTGGCAAGGTTACACCCGCATATACCATCCTTACTGCACTCCCACATCAATCACCTGGAAGCAAAATTTAGTGCTTGACATTTCCTCCATCTCATGCTGTTATCTTGTCACAACACTACTTGTAGAGATCATTCAACCACAAACGCTCGGCAGAATTCCCATCGATTTGAATCCTTTGCCAACCATTAGACCAGAAACACTTCCAAGAGTTTCCATCGGTCAAAATTGAATTCAATATCCCAGAAAATCAATTCATCCAAAAAACTAAGTCGAAACAACAAAAGAAACAAACGAAACAAACAAAAAAAAATCTCCTGGACTCATCAGTTGAAGTTCATCACGTAGTCCCTGTGGAACACAAACACAAACTCTCTCACGTTGCGCGAGAACCTTGACGAGTGGAATGTGAGTCAGAGGCAGGGAGAGTCTAATGAACTATGTCGGAAGGGCCGTTGCCTTGTGGATGAGATTGACAGTATGAGGAAGATAGTGATGATGCATAGATGTGCAAGGTTGCACCACCTAACGCATGAGTCGATGAAACCGGCGTTGGCGTTGGTCGCGGCCGGGTTCGGAGGCACCCTCAAAGGGCGTTCAGGCGTCGACTTTGGGTTTGGGGCTTCGTTACCCGCCATGCTTACCGCGCCTAGGGCCAGG